GGGTTGCTAGGGGTCACGGGGAAAGCCGACGCCCGGCATTTCAAAGAGCGGCCAGCGCTGGAGTGTGCGGGCGCTCTTGAGGCCCGGCCTCCCTGCCTCCCTCCCTCCCACCCAGCTACTGCCCCGGACTCGGGCTCAGGAAGGCGCGGGTAGCGGGGTGGGGGCTTGTACCTTGGGGGACGGCAGCCGGGTCTCGATCGCACGCAGGTCCTTGTCCAGCTCCGCGCTCAGCTTGGCCAGCTCCCTCTCCAGCAGGACCTGTTGGGGGGAAGCCAGGGGCAGAGGGGCAGTGCGGAGGGGGGGGCCGGGGGGGGCCGGCCGAAGGTCAGATGCGAGGGGCGGGACTGGGCTGCAGCCTGGGTAAAGGGCAGGCCTCAGGGGGACACGACTGGCCTGAGGGCCCACAGACAGGTGGCTCAGGATGGTGACTCAGGGGGACATCCCTGCCTAATCCCTCTCCCCACCCGGGCACTGCGGGCTCCCAGAGGGTGTCAGTGCCTGCAGGGCCTCCTACCTGCTCGCCCACAGACTCCTATGGCCTCCCACCGCCTGGCTTCCCTGCCCCCTACCACGCTGCTCCCCTGAGCCCCTGCACAGTCATCTCCTGCCCTGGAGAGACAGAGCTCTCTGCCGACAAGCCCTGCTGGTTTCGCAGAGCCCAGCCCCACTCCGGGGACACTTCCTGACCATTCCAGTCCAGGCCGGCTGCTCCCCTCTCCGCTCCTGCTCTGGACGGTGCCCGGTTATCCTGTGGTTTACTGAGCACCTCCTGCCGGCCAGCACTGTCCTGGCTGGGCTTGCAGAGGGAACCGAGGGGACTGGCAGATCAGAGCTCCATCCGGGCCTGTGCCCACGGTCACTGGGGCCCAGACGACCCAGAATCGCCCGTGGTCAGCCCCACGCTGCCTCCCCTCCCCTCCTGGTGGGAGCACTTACCTCAATGGGCTGGGAGGGCCTCTCCACAGGGTCGTCCACCAGCGGTTTCTTGGGCTGAAGGACAGGGAGGGTGCATGAGCGGGGGTGAACTCACTTTCCAAAATGCACAGCTGAGGAGTGTCCACTCCCAGGGGGCAGCCCACACTCACCCTCTGCCCGGTCTCCAGCTCTTGCAGAAACTGGTGCAAGGAGTCTTCCGTCCAGATGCCGTCCAGTTTCTCTCGGCGCCTGGGTGCCTGTGTGTGGTGGTGGGCACCAGCTGTGTCCACGGGCACTGGGCACTGGCCGGGCTCAGAAAGCAGGCTTGCTGGCCCCTGCCTACGCCTGCGCCCACCAGTGCCCTGTGAGGATTCCAGCTGGAAGGGCATTATCTGAGCTGCCTCTGCAAAGTGGCCCGCCATCTGGGCACGTGTGACGAGCGTGCTGGTGGCTTACCTGATTTGGGGGCCGAAGCACAGAGGCCGACACGCCGGGATTGTAGGGGAAGGAGCCTTTAGGTGACTCTTCAGAGTGATCCCAGCTTCTCCTGAAATAACAGGACAGCTCTTCAGTTTCCCGTTGGGGAAGCTGGGGCATAACAAAAATACAGCGTGAGCCTGCTCTGCCTCCAACGGCCCCTGCCCAGCCGAAAGTGTGCACATCCCAGCACGTCCCAAGCCAGCTCCGCCCAGGGGCTGTGTGAGCTCTCGGCAGGGAACCTCACTTGCAGCCTGAGGCCCCAGCCTGTGAGACTATGATGATGAGAGAGGTGCCAGGGGCTCCCGGCCGGATGCATGGATCTACTCCCCGCGGACCCGCCCCTCCTGCCCCTTCCCTGCCCGATGAAATCTCCTGCATCTCAGCGTGGTCCCTGCCAGGAATGGGCTTCTTCCATGATGCGGTCTTCCCAGCCGCTGGCCTGAGGGCTCACACCCACACCCAGGAGCTCTGTGCAAGCCATTTCTGCCCGTGGCCCTGGTGCCACGAGGGTGCTGGACCCCATTGGCCCTCACAGGGAGGGGTGTCTCTAGGGTGGAGAAACCCTGATGGGGATGCTGACTTGTGGCCTGGTGGTTAAGGTGCCTGGATCCCACATTGGCTGACTGCCAGTTCGAATCCAAGACCCAGTGGCTTGAGAAATATACTAGGGGCATGTGTATATGTGCCCCAAATCAGAGAGCAGAGTGGAAGAGGGGAAGAGAAGGGAGAGTAGCATGGTTCCCCCCCCCCCGTGGGGTTCTCACTTTCCCTCACTCTCTCTAGCGAGTGCATGTACCCTAGGGCCAGTTACACACACACACACACACACACAGATGGCCAACTGCAAGGTTCAAGTCCTGGCTTGAAAGCACACCAGGCACATGTGTGTGCATGCCTAAAGTCCTGAAAGGATGAACAGATAGGAAAGAAGAGATTGCGTGTGACCACACCCCCTGGGGTTACTTTCTCACTCCGCCTACCTCCCTCTGCAAGTGCACGTGCCCTCTGGCAAATTAAAAGTAAACAAACAGGGGCTGGCAGGTGGTCCTGGTGGTTAAGGGCGCTGGGCCCCCACATGGCCGACCTTGCTTTCTCACTTTCCCTCTCTCTCTCTCACTCTGTCCCTCTCTGGTCAAATTAAAATAAATAAATAAAGTTAAATAAAATAATTATTAAAAACAATAAACGAGCAAATAAAGAAAAAGCCCCAAGAAGATACAGAGCCCCTTTGGGGAGCCAGACCCATCAGAGGAGCCAGGCCCGGTCCTGCCTGTTCTGAGACTGCAAGATGCGGTCGCTAGGGGGCGCCAGTCCACACGGGGACGCAGAGGCGCTCGCAGCCCTGCTCGGCTGCTCTCTTGCTCCACTTGCTCACCCGCTGGAAGACGCGGCTGGCCCAGGCCTGGAGGCGGGTCTCTGCTGGAGCCCTGGATGCGGGGGATCTGCAGAGAGACATGAGGAGACCTGAAGACAGGCAGGGGCTGGGGTTGAGGGCACCTGGGTAACCCCACCCTGCCTCCCAGGTAGCTGGCTCTTAGGGACAGGGGTGATGCTCCAGGCCACTAAACATGGTGCTTGCCCAAGAGCGTTATACTCCGCTAAACTCGGAAACATCCAGGCAGGTGGTGCCCCCTCTGTGCGGATGAGGAAAGAGGCCCAGAGAAAGCATGGCCGGGCGTGGCCGAGCTGGGCTGCAGGCTGCAGGGCGAGGCTCTCCATTCCCCTCAGCAGGGGACCTAGCGCTCTCTGGAGGTGAGCCAGGAAAACCTCTCGGGTTGTGCTAAGTCAGGGGGTGGGGGGCGAAGCCATGGGGGTTAGTAGATGCAGGTGCCTGGGCAGGGGGGCAGGGGGCCGAACCCTTCACCTTTGGGTGGTTCCTCGAAAGCCCAGTCTAGCTGCAAGTCTGTGGGGGCAGAAAGGACCAGGTCACAGATGGGGCAGAACGCAGCCTCAGCCACTCCCAGCCTCCCTCCTGCCTAGAACAGGGCCTGGGGCTGAGTCAGGGCCTGAAGAATGTCCTGAGGGAGGGAAAGAATTAGCAGGGCAGCTCTCAGGAGGGCTTGAAATGCCTCTGGCAGACTTAGGGCCTGAGCCAGCCAATGGGCCAACCAACAGGCAGCAGAGGCCATGCTGGCTTCCCGCCCCTCCCCTCCTCCCCACGCCCTCTCCTGACCTTGGTAAGCCCTGCCCTCACCACCCACTGGGGGAATGTGCCCTCCTCTTCCCTCTGCGCCTAGGCCCACTCCCCATCACCACCACTGCCCACGCCCAGGGCCATCTGATGCCCAGGCAGGCATGCAAGGACACCGAGCTCACTTGCAAAGCTAAACGCGCCTCTGGATCCCACACCGTCCCTGACTCCTGGATTGTCTGCGTTCCCTCTCCGCAGACCTTAACTAGTTGGCCATAAGGACCTCTCTGTCTCCAGCCCTAATCCCTGTCCTTAAGCAGCTCTCAGCCCCACACCCCGTGCCCCAGCCACTCTCGCCAAGGACCCGGTGACCTCCACATGGCCAAATCTGGTGGACTCCGAGTCTCTGGCTCCCTTCGGAAAGCCCTTCCCCTCGTCCTCAGCGAGCCCAGCCTCGGCCTTCCTCCCTCCTCTCGGCTGCACCTTCCCGGTGCTTTGCTGCTTGCTGCGTCTCCCCCTCCAGAGGAGCACTTGGCTAGTCCTGTGGCTTTGGAATCCACTCCCATGACCCAGCCTTGGCTGCACGTTAGTCACTGGGGGAGCTTGAGATCAAAATCTCTTCTGACCAAGTCCCAGGTACTCCATCTGCGGCTTAGACCTCAGCCCTGAGCCGTGACCTCCAGCGGCCTACTGGTATCCCAGAATGCCTTTCACACCTGCTGCTCCTGCTGTCTTCGGTCCCTGCTGATGGCAACGCCATCCTTCCATGGGCTCGGCCTGAAAATCATCCTCGACCCTCTTTCATGCCAAGTCCAGTCCATCAGCAAATTCCAAGGATTGTCCCCAACACGTCTGGAATCCTACCCTGTCCCACCGCCACACCCGGGGTTCAATCTAAGCTTGCACAGTGGCCTCGTTTCCTAGCCCTTCCCAGGTAGGAGAACGGTCTCTCCCTGCTCCGCTGTCTCCCCACGCTGCAGAAGGCCGGCGTGAACTCTGCAGCCATCACTCGTCAGTCAGGGCATGTCACTCTTCCGCCCGGAACCTCGCCGAGAGAGAGCCAGAGTCCTTCTAATGGCCCCCAGGGCCCCCAGTGGCCTGGCCCCATACCTCTCTGACCCCAGCTCCAGCGACCCTTGGCCCAGTCACTGCAGGCCCCACAGCTGCGCTCCTGGCTGGCCGGGCACCAGCCAGGCGGTGCTGGAAGCAGCCCCTCTGCCCACTGGCTCCTCACTCCCCAGGCTCCCTGCCTCAAGGCCTCTCACGGCAATCCCTGCCCTTGTTTCTCTTCTTCCTTTTCTCTTTATTTGTTTCTCCCACGAGTGAGAGAGCTGAGTGCACGCGCGAGAGAGCACCTCCATCGAGGTCCTGACTTCGACACCTGCCCCAGCCCCGGCAGCCCGATTGTGGGCGCGTGCCATGTCTGACCTACCCTGAGTAGGCTCCGGACAAGAACCCAGAACCTTCCCAGGTGGGTGGGCCTCCAGAGACACATTCACCTGCCGCTGTCTGTCCCCACCCTCGCCGTGCTTGTCCCCTCGCCCTTCCGCCGTCAGCCATATTACAGACTTGTCTGCATCTCGCGTCTCCCTTTACTCGGCTCCAGGCCTAGCTCTCGGCACCCGGTAACTGCTCCGTGACCGTCCAGGACCAGCTGCAGGCGGGTGCCTCGGCCGCTCAGAGCCCCCGAGGTGGCCCACATTGCAGCTGTGGGAGAGTGCTCGCGTGCTGAGTGCCTGGTGTGGAGTTCCAGCCTGGCGGGAAGACCGGAGGCACTGCAGGGAAGACTGCCCTCCCAGAACCCTCGAGGACACGGAGACATGGCTGGTCACCATCCGCCGAGGGTATGAGGACGGGAAGGGGAGACGGAGCTCCTTCTTGGGCCTACATGGGGCTCCTTCGCCACAGAGCCTGGGAGGCGGGTGGAGGCCCCCAGCAGTTCCCCTTTTCTGTCCATCCCTTCCCCAACCCCGGAGGCCAGGGCGGGCCTCCCCCCCCAAGGAGTCACACCTGGCATTTTCCGGTGAATCTGCTGGAACATCTTCCGGTACCAGTCCCTGGGGCTGTCCACGCTCTGGGGTGAGAAACCGGAGTCAGGCCCTCCGCTCACCCCTGCCCAGTGCCAAGGCAGCCATGGTCCTGAGTCCGTCCTCTCTGGCCACCAGTGGGCCGGCTGCCGACCTCGCCCTTGTGGTCTCCAGTAGTGACAGCTTTAGAGCACATTGCGTGCAAGGGAGACGCACGGCAGGGTCCCCCGCGGTGCATGGCGGTCCCCAAGCTGTGAGGTTGTGGAGACTTACATGATTTCTCTTTGCTTTTCTGCATTTCCACGCGTCTACAAAGAGCACGTGTTTCTACGTAATAAACGTCAAGGGTGATTTGGGAGGGGCGCCCTTGGAGGCAGGGAAGGACAGGCACGACTCCAGTTTCCTGACGAGGGAGCACCAGGACGCGAGGGCAGTGCCTCCTCTTCCCTCCATCCCAGGCGGACCCCGGCTCCCCCTCATTCAGCAAGTCGCCTCTCAGGAACCAGGAGCCGGCCCAGTGCCCCTGCTGCAGTGATGCGCCCCCCTCTAGAGCCTGGTGGGGGTTCGAGATCTGCGTCCCACACACCCATGCTGCTGTGCAGTTCAGGCACAGGGGGCCCAGGACCTTGTGGGTTCGTGACCCCTGAGCCCATCACGGTGAACCTGCTTAGTCTGAAATGACATGGTGCAGCCCTGCCCACCTACCCCGGTCCGACTCGGAGCAGCAGACCTCGGTAGGTCCCCGGGCCCCACCTGGCCATGGCCCCGGCCCTGGACTCACGGATCGGGGGGCAATGGGCATGCCGCTGTCGTCCACGGGCCCGATTCCCTCGTACTTGACCCAGCGCTTGTCCCGACGCTTGCTGTCCTTGGTCCACGTGGCCGACCAGTTCTGGCCATGCCGGGAGGAGGCAGGGGTCTTCGGGCTGGCCGAGGGCCGGCTGCCGGGGCCTGGCCACGTCTGGTACCAAGCAGGGTCTGCAGGGCACGACAGGGCACATCAGCCAAGGCTGGGTCCCTGCCTGGCCCGCCTGGCCCTCAGCTCCGGGAACACGGCCTTGCCGCCTCGACGGCAGCCACGTCTCCTCGTTAGCGCAGATGGCGCCCACTCTGGACCGCCCCGTCCCCAGCAGCACCACAGGCCTCCAGTTCATTCTGGAGAAATGTGGGTCCATCCCCAGCCCAGCCTGCGTTTCTGGGGTTGACCTAAGGATTTGGGGTGAGCGCTGGAATCAGTTCTTGTGCATGCTGGGACAGCCAGCGGGGGTGTGGCAGGAAAGATGCTGGCCGGGAGGGGCACACGTGACTCCACACCCGCTCTGCTCCCTGCTGGCTGTGTGACCTTGGGGGCCCCAGCCCCTTCTCCACGCCTGTCTCCAATTCCGTGCAACGGCCATCAGGGAAGGTCTCGGCGCACAGCCGTGGGTGACTGTGCCCGCACGGTGCAGGCTGTCGGAGGCCCAGTTCCCAGGCGGGGTTACCGCGTCCTCAAGGTCCCCAGAGCTTAGCCTCTAGGTAGCCAGTGGGGGAGCCATAAGGGCCTCCAGGCCAGTTGGACAGGGGTTCGACCCTTCACTCAGCCTCTGCCACGGGACATCCATGGATTCGGCTTCCTCCCTGGGACGAGGTCGAGCGGAACCATAATTCGGCAGGACATGGAGTGATTACAGGAGTCGCGGCTTGGAACACGACCCAGGGGTCGGGCACACTCTCAGTGCATAGTGCCTGCCCCAGGGGATGTCCCAGGAAGGGTGTCATCGCCTCAGGACAGGGCCCCTCTGCTGGCCATGCTGAGTCCCCAAGGCCGCCAGCCTGGCCAGGGCTCATGGTTCTCAGGGCTGCCTCTGCAGCCTGCGCTGGGGACTAGGCCACGTGCTACCGCCCCGTGGCCTGCAGGGCCTGAGTGGGGCTCCTTCCCTGTCCCACCCAGCACACGCTCACAGACCTCGAACCCCCACCCAAGTGCAGGCGGTTCCCCGGAGGCTGCGGCCCCACACACGCCTTCCTCTGGCACTGGGAGGGGGAAGGGACAGGGAAGGCCTTGTCCACCTACCCCCTCCCTCAGTGACTGTCTCCTCCAGGGAATCCTCATAGCCCTGAGACCCCTCGTCCTCCTGCTGTCCCTCCTGCTCCACACGGGACGGTGGCACCAGATGGCAGGGCCCCATGGGCTCCTGGAGCGAGCATCCCTGCAGACCCACCTGGGTGCTGGGAAGCATCCCTCCTCGGCGGGAAGTAGCCGTTGCACACAGTCCTGGGCGCCGGGTCATGATACTGGAAATTAAGGGTGTTGGAGCCGCCATTCCGGATCACAGGCACCTGTAGGGAGGGGCCCAGAAGGTCCCACAGCGGGGTGGACGGAGGTCTCCAGGCTGAGCCCGGCCTTGTGGGCAGCACGAAGGCCTCCGGAGCTCCCTTCAGACTCACTCCTGCCCTCACCCCCTCAGTCCTGCTCCCACCTGACCCACTGTGAGCCCCTGGGGGACACTCACCCGCGTCCCCCGGGAGGGTGGCCCTATGTGGGCCCGCAGGTGACCGGGGATGAAGTCGTCCAGGCTGAGCCCAGCAGGGAGGCTGTAGGGTGGGCCCTGCATGCTCGGGCCAAGGTCGGACTCCAGCTGTACCAGCTCCTGTGGATGGCCTCTGTAGGGACAGGAGGAAGGGAAAGCCCTGCTGGGCCTGCCTGGCTGTGCCCTCTGGGCTGGCCCCGGTGGGAAGGAGGGTCGTGCTGGAGGGACTGGAGCCAGCTGGTGGGAGCTCAAGGACCGGGAAACAGGCCACTCTAGGAGCTGCCTGCAGGCTGCCCGGGCGGCACAATGGGCTGCTTGTTAGTCCAGTCCAGGCAGGAGCTGGGGGGGTGGGGGTGGGG